CTCGCGTGCGCGCGCACACACACACACACACACACACACACACACGCGGCGCTCACAGACACACGCTCCCTCCCTCCGGCGCGGTACCCCTCTCCCGCTGGCCGCGCACGCCGCCGGCGCCCCGCGCCCAGCGCCTGCCGCGGCCAAGCGAGGCCAGGCTGGGCTTGGAGCTGCTCATGGAGAAAGTGCCAGGCGAGATGGAGATTGAGCGCAGGGAGCGGAGCGAGGAGCTGTCCGAGGCGGAGAGGAAGGCGGTGCAGGCTACGTGGGCCCGGGTGTATGCCAACTGCGAGGACGTGGGGGTGGCCATCCTGGTGAGGTAGGTGTCGCCCGGCGGCCGGGCCGGGCCCAGGGCAGGGAGGGCAGCAGCGGCTTCGTGCAGACGCGGGCTCAGCCAAGGTCCGAGCTCCGGCACCACCTCCCTGGCTGCTATCTTGGCCAGCGAGCCAGCGGGGGCGCGCAGCGGGGCGCGTCCTAGGGTGGTCGAAGACCAGGTTGAGCCCTCCTTGGCTGCAGGCGTGGGGCTCATCAGGAACCAGGAGCCAGACACAGAAGGGCACTTGGGTCGCTGTCCCTCCTCGCTGGCCTTGATTCACAGGTCTCCCTCCCTGAGGACCCCGCCACCTCGCCAAACTGTATGCTCTCCCATTTCACCAGCCCGCAGAAGGTCAGAGGGACTCCCTGTGTTAGAGATGGGGGAAACTGAAGCTCAGTCCGCCAAGAAGGGGCTCGTGGAGGGGCAGACCCCGCTCTCCAGCTCAGCTCCTAGGAAGAACAGAGCCAAGAGTGGAGGTCAGAAGGAGTAGACAGCTGAGGTCCAGCTTTGCCGGCTGTGCCTCCTTGTCCTGAGGGGGGACCCCAGCAAGGAGTGCCAGGTGAGGCACAGGTGAGCTAGAAGCAAACAGTCCCCTAGGAGACAGTCCCTGCTGAGTTTGGTGAGGGAGAGAAGCTGGGCGGGGGGCAGGGCTCTGTCCTGGAACCCCCAGCCAGGGAGGATGTACAGTGTCGCGGGGTTTATCCAGGTGCCAGTCCCACTGAGGTCCCCCACCCAGAGTGATACTGTGCCCATGCTTGCCCAGGGTGCACATACACCTACAAGTTAATGTTCCCAAGCCCCACACATTAGAAGCTAATGGTACCTGCAAATCAAATCTAGACTATCTTCCCACACACGCTGGGCCCAGGGTGTAGGTGGAGAACCCACACACACTCACCCCGAGCCCCCAGCCCCTGGCAGAGGGAGGCTGTCAAGCCTGGGACAGCGGGGGAACCTTGTAATAGAAGACCGGTGAAACTTCACCGTTTGAGAACCCTGTAGTGCATGTCTGTCTCCCAGTCCCATGGGTCTCCCGCTCCTTTTTCTCCCCTTCTCCCTCTCTCCCCAACACCTGGGACCTACCAGCTCCATAGTGATAGTCCCTGACTCCAACCTAGAAAGAGATTTTGGAGGACAAGAGGAAGAAGCACTTTGGAGGAGTTAGAAGAGGGCTCCCGGCGAAGGGCAGCTCCAGGGGCAGGCACGCGGCTGAGGGCGGTGGGAAGCTAGGAAAGGGTTGGGATCCTGAAGTCACAGGCACTGGAGCCTGACTTCACGTGCGGGCACCCACAGGAGTGCGCACTGGACAGTGGGGTCTCCCAGAAGCCCCAGACTGTGCCCTTGGAGGGCTGCTCTCAGCCGTGGGTCAGCCCACAGCTCACCGGGCCCCCACATGGGTCACAGGACCCTGGACATTTTCCTCAAGACTTGTTGAGCCCCAGGTCCTCTGGGCCATACTCTCTCTCCAAGCCCATTACCAGTGAAGAACCTCCCCCAGAAATCTGGGGTGGGCAGAGGAAGGAGCCGAGCCTAGAGGCAGGGCTGCTGGGTCTCTGAGCGCTTGGCATGGTTTTTCTTTTTCTCTCCACTTTGTTTATTTGTTTTTGATGCTGGAGATAGAACCCAGGGCCTTGTGCATGCTGAGCAAGTGCTCACTTCTGAGCCACACCGCAGCCCCTTCTTTCTTGCTCCACACCCTCCTTCTGGCTGTCTGCCCATTCCTGGTACTGGACGGGAGAGTATATACCAATAAGCTCAGCCTCAGACAAAGGCCCACCATTAACGTCAGCCTGAGATGCACTCAGACATGGCCTGCTGATACTCTGGCCACACTTCTCCGTCCCCAGTGGGCGTGGACAGGAGCCTGCCTGGACAGCCTGGGCCAGCACTGTCTCAGCCACCACTCTTCGCCAGCTTCCAGTCCCATGGGTCTTCCTCTCCTTGCCTCCTCCTGCTGATGTCTGTCCCAGGGTCTGGCCAGTGGGGGTGGGGGTGGGGGAGGGGCAAGGTCAAGAGCCACCAGCTTCTCAGGGTCCCCTGTGTCCCTGTCTACATCCTGTGCCTGTGAGACTTGTCACAGCCTCCTGTCTGCCCACATATAACCTGCACATCCACAGGACCAGGCCCTCCAGGCCCCAGTGAGAGCCTGAGACACTGGCCCTCTGATCATCCCCACAAGCATGCATGCAGGCACATGAGTAGTTGTCCTCATCTGTCTGTGGGGTAAGGAGGAGGCAGAGGCCGCCACACCCTACCTCTAGCAAGTGGGGGCGGCGGAGGAGGAACTGTCTTGGGGTCTGAGGCAGACCCCACATTTCCACTGTCAGAGAGGAGACCAAGAGGGAACACCCACCCTGCCTCCCGGTTGTAACGCTGACACCTTCCCCCTCACACTCAGACGAGCCTATTTCAGGCTCTTGGAAGCCCAGCTGCCTCTGCAGCCGAGAAACTCCCTGAGACTGGCTGGGAGGCTTCTCCTGGCATTGTAGGCCAACCTGGAAGGGTTTGGGGGGCGACACGTGCAGCGGGATATCGAGGCCCCCTGGGTGTAGGCTGAGGCTCCCCGGGGCTCTCACTCCTCAGGGCCACCACAAAACCCTGGGTGTTGAGGCAGGAGATTCACCCGCGTCCTAGGCCACCAGCGCCCCCGCCCCCAGCAGTGTCCAAACACTCTGGGAATCCCTCAAAGCCTGGCTCTTTCCTGGTGCTTCAACTTACCTTACTGGCCAACCATGGGGCATCAATTCCTAGCCAATGAGATGGGGGTAAAAACAGTGCCAACTTCGGGAGGGTATTGTAAGAACTGATGAGCTCGCGTGTATGTGCTCAGTAAATATCCCTGGCTATTTCCTCGGCAGGAAGACAGGCAGAACACCTGCTTGGTTGTGGCAATTAAATACAGTAAGAGAGGTAGTGGTGCCTTGCAAATAAAAACACCAAAGTCTGAGGTGCTCATTTAGGTCCAGACAGGGTTTGTACATCTGTCCCTCACTGCAGTGCTTTTCCAGGAAACAGCCATGTGTTTTCAGACCCTTTGCCTCGTTTGTGTTTGGTTTGTGTTCACCCGTGTGTCTGCGAAGGAATGGGCGGGAGGGCTTCTCAGGCACCGCTGTCTCTGCAGACAGGGAGGTCCTGCGGTGGTGGCCCAAGGTCACACTGAACCCCAAAGAGGGGCTCTCTCAGGGTGCACGTGGACTGCGCTCTCTCTGCATCAGTCCCCAGTCTGAGACTCGACCCCGAGCCAAATTGTTAGCTGTCTGATCACAAAGGGGACCGCCACGGTGAGAAACACCTGCGAGAACAGGTCCAAGACACTCGGGAGCCGTGAAGTCATGTAAGTTCTGACTGAGCCCAGCACTGTCCCACTGTCAGCATCACTCTGCACACTGCAGGACCCTGGGCCAGGCGAGGGCCAGAGGGTGCACGAGACCGGGCCTCTGCCCGTGAGCTTGGGGTCCAGCCCCACACACTGAAAGTCGGCAGGGAAGGCCACTTGAGTAGCACTAACAGTCTAGAGAGGACACCAGTAGGCCAGCACCAACCTGGGCACTCAAAGGGGACAGTCTGTCCGGAAGGCACCCACCACGGGGAACAGGAGGCAGCTGGCTGATGACTGTCACCTATGGTAAATAGAGCTGTAGGGCTGGGACAAGACGACATGGGTCAGGCACAGTGGGCTGTGGCTTTGGAGAAGCGACTGGGGGACACAGTTCATAAGGGGTCTAGAGTGTCAGTTTGTAAGGCGTTTTGTTTTTTTTGTTTTTTTTTTTGGTTTTGGTTTTTCTCCGGTACCGGGAACCGAACTCACGACCTTGCACTTGCCAGGCAGGCGCTTTTGCTGCTGAGCTAAATCCCCAGCCCCAAGGCGTTTTGATTTTTATCCAGTAGACAGTCAGGAGCCATTGGATGCTTTGAGCATGATAGTGATGGGATGAAAGCAGTGTGTGGGGGAATTAGACACTTTCAGGTAAACTGGAGAGGAGCAGGCCCAGAGCTAGGAAGGCCAGGGGTCTACTCTAAAAGGTTCACAGGCTGCCTGGGGAGGTAAGACTTAGGGATATGAAATAACACCGGAACCACCCCAGGGAGGCAGAATCAATGGCTATTTTTAATTAAACCAGCCGATCAATATTGGCTGCAGGCTGAGAGGGGTTGAGAGTAGGGAGGAAAGAAGGGACTGGGCAGGAGGAGGGGGACTGAGTCTTGTGTCTTCTCCTCGCTGGCTGAGTGACCTTGGCCAGCGTACTTCGTTCATGAGGTGAGCCGTAACTGTCAGAGTAAAGGCAGGCGCCGAGTGTGTGCGTCCTGCTGACAGTGTGGGGAGGACAAACACTTTCCTGTTCCAACCCATAGCACAGGAACAATGATACCATTTTATGGCCAAGGAAACCGAGGCTCAGAAAAGTTGAATAACAAGCTGGATGCAGTGACACACATCTAGTGGTACGGTCCCAGCTGCTTAGGAGGCTGAGGCAGGAGGATTGTTTGAACCCTGTGAGTTCTAAGCCAGGCAGCAACAGAAAACCCCATCTCTTCAAAAAATAATATAAAGTGGAGAATGAGAGACCTGTGATTCCAGAGCCCTGACTCTGACTCTATCAGAGTGACTGGCCCAGGCCTGGAAAGGCATGTCAGGTTCAGAAAGGAGATGGGAATCTAGGAAGAGTTGGGCACGGCGGCACAAACTTGTAATCCAGCTACAGGAAGATCACAGGTTTGAACACAGCCTGGGAGACTTAGCGAGACTGTCTCAAAATTTATTGGTTTTGGTTTTTTTTTTTTTTCTTTTTGAGACAGGGTCTCGCTATGCAGTTCAGGCTGGCCTTGAGCTCACTTTGTAGCCCAGGCTGGCCTTGAACTCACAACGATCCTCCTGCCTCAGCCTCCCAAGTGCTAGGATTACAAGCGTGCACCACCACACCTGGCGATCTCAAAATTTAAAATTAAAAAAGACTAAGGATGTAGCTCAGCACCCCCTAGGTTTGATCCCCAGTACTATAAAAAAAGGAGGGAGGGAGGAGGAAGAAGGAAGGAAGCAAGGAAGGCAGGAGAAGAAGCAAAGGCCTGCAGCAGGAAGCTTCAAGCCTGAGCCAGCCCGTGGGCATGGCAAGACCCAACCCGATCAGAGCAAGAGTTTGTGTTGGAGGGAGAGCGACCCGCTGTAGTAAAAACAATGACTGGGCTGCAGGTGGCCCCTGCTTCTCTAGCTCCCACTCTGGCTGCACCAAGGGCTCCAGAGGAGGAGCCCCCTGCTCCAGCGCCCTCCCCTCCGTCCCACTAGGTTTTTTGTGAACTTTCCCTCGGCCAAGCAGTACTTCAGCCAGTTCAAACACATGGAGGAGCCGCTGGAAATGGAGCGAAGCCCCCAGCTGCGGAAGCACGCCTGCCGGGTCATGGGGGCCCTCAACACCGTAGTGGAGAACCTGCACGACCCTGACAAGGTGTCCTCTGTGCTGGCTCTCGTGGGCAAAGCCCATGCCCTCAAGCACAAGGTGGAGCCCGTGTACTTCAAGGTAGGCCACTGGGGAGCACAAGCACTCACAGCCTGCCTGCTGGGAGGGCTCCCAGCCTGCAGCCCTGGAGGGGCTGAGACGGAGGGCAGTGCCTGGAGCAGGATGGAAGGGTTGGGCCACCCCTGAGAGTGTGTGACTCCCACAGCTGCAAGGCCCTTGGGTTAGGAATCATCCCCTTGGCCCACATGGGGCAGAAGTGGGTCCTGCGGGTCACAGGGGTTGGGGTGCCTGGGCATTTATTACCGCTTTTCCCTTTGCCCCCAGATCCTCTCTGGGGTCATTCTGGAGGTGATCTCTGAGGAGTGTGCCAGTGACTTCCCGCCAGAGACGCAGAGAGCCTGGGCCAAGCTGCGTGGCCTCATCTACAGCCACGTGACCGCTGCCTACAAGGAAGTGGGCTGGGTACAGCAGGTCCCCAACGCCACCACGTGAGGAGGGGGTGAGGGTGGGCTGGGCAGCCTCCCGCCATGTCCTCTTCTGTTCGCTAGGCCTCCCATCTCTCCTGGGGCCCTGGGGCTGACACATCTAAGGCACAGTAGGAAACAGCCTGCCAGACAGCCTCCCTCTGACTTCAGGCCTGCTACCACCCTACCTGAGCCAGAGCTAACTCCTCTGGGGCAGAGTCTCTCCCTTCCCTAGACCAAGGGAGCACAGGACCCAAGGCCTCCGCAACCCGGGCAGAGAGGTGCTACAGTGGCAAGGATGGCTGCTGAGGCTTCCGGGCAGTCCGGGCCAGCTGTGGCCACTTCCTCCCTGGCACCAATCACATGGGCCTGTTTTTCCATCTAACACTGACCAGTGCTCCCACCACCCTCTGCCCCAACAGGGCCAGAGCTGGCAGGGTCACGAGGACGTGTGCCCCCACGCACATGCCCAGGCCCACGCAAGACCTGCATGGGTGGCACTCACATGCACACCACCAGGGGATATTTACTTCCAGGCTGACCCTGAGGCCAGCTCCCAGTCCTGAGCTCGAGGAGGGTGGCCAGCCTGGGTGACTCCAGCTGGGGAGGCTGCGCGCCTCAGACATGGCAGGCGGCTGGGAACACTCCCAGCCCTGGGGAGGGGCGGCTGGCTGGCTATGGGAGCTGAATGAAAGGGCGGGGCAGGACCAGAGTAGGAAGGCGAGAGAGGAGGGAGGTGGGAATGGAAGCCAAGGGTCAACCAGCGGCTCAGGACACGTGCTGTAAAGAAACATTCCCAGCAGTTTCCCATGGAACAGGCCGTGTCTCATCCCCAGGCTCTGCACGGGCCTCCTGCTTGCGGGCCTCTCCAGCAGGCCGGCTCCCAGGAGGAGGAGGAGGGAGAGAAGGAGGAGGAGGAAGTCGCCCCAGGGTAGTGGGTAGGCCAGGCCTGTTGTCGGCCTTCCTGCTGCTGACGGGGCAGGCAGGGAGCTTATGCTACATCCTCCCCCACATCGGCAGCGCCCCAGGAGAGTTCTCGGGAACTTGGGGCTGCAGACAGGCCAACTCCAGATGTGCACAGCTGGGTGATGGCCTGCCCCAGACCCTGGAATGGATGGGAAACAAGCAGATTTTCACCTGCCTGAGGAGGGTACTGGCAAGCCAGAGAGCTGGGGTTCACCCTGACCCAAAGCTGTCACCCTGAGGGACCAGGGAGGAGCCAGTGGGAGGGGGTGCAGGGAGGGACTCACCCTCCCTCTCACTCCTCTCCCCAGGAGGCTCTGCCGCCCCCAGATGGGTTTGTTTACAGCCAGGAGACAAGACTTCCTGCTTTTCGAGAAAAGGGCTTTTTTATGGGGGCCTAGAGGGACTGCAGAGAGCGCTGGCGGTTCAGCCTCAGTGAATCAGAAACACATGGCAGGCACCCCCCCTTTCCTGCCCCCGCCGGACCCCAGGGACTTGGATGGAGCCAAACACCAAATATTAGGAAACGCAGAAATTGCCGCGCCTGCCCCCTCCTTTCTGCGCCTCATGAACTGGGTGGAGATGGGCTATGTGGGGGACTGACCAGAACGAGCACACTGAGGTCCCCCAGCCGGCACATCGAGGGGCTGTGCTCCTACTCCTTTTCACCCTCCCCCGCACCCTGGTCTCCCAAGGGAACGGGATGTGGACCCCCGAGAAGGCGAGTGTCCCCGGTCACAGGCCCACAGCCCCCACACACTGCTGGGGTCTTGCAGGCTCAGAGGGCGGGGAGGATCTCAGAGCTGACTTCTGAGGCCCCATCCAACTCCTCTTATCAGGGAGGCCGTGGTGGGCCAGACGCCACTGTTTATTGAAACAGTCTCTGCTTCAGGGTGTGGGCGCCTCTGTGTGGGCAGAGGGGTGGCCGGGTGGGGTGTGGTCATCGAGCTGAGAGGGGCTGCGTGTGCGCAGACTGCACAAGGATGGGGCTAGCGAAGATCTCCAAGATCTCGACAGGCTGAACGGAGTGGGCCACGCTTCAGAATGAACAGGAAAAAGCTCAGATTTGTACGGCACTTTGCAGCTCCTGAAATGTTGCTTTACCTCATCTCTGTTCTCAACTAGGCAGGCAAGGCAGACGTCCACATTTTAGAGGAGAAGATCTGGGGCTCTCCGGGGCCACCAGACTCACACAGCAGGTTAGCGGCACAGGGAGGACTAGAACTGGGGTCTAATGCCCGCTTCCCACCGCACCACGCTGGGTCACTGCAGGAAGTGCCCTGCCTGCCGCCCCGGCTCCCCCACCCGGGTTCCCTGACCTGTGTAACCTCTTCCCTCCATCTCCTCTCGTCCACAGCCCACCCAGCACGCTGCCCTCTTCAGGGCCGTAGGACCCCTCCCAGCTCCCCCTCCCTGGCAGCACCTTGAGCAGAAGGCTGAGTTCTGAAGACCCTCCTTGACCCTTCATTTCTGGGTGCCAAGGAAGCTGGAGGAACCCCGACTCGTCTTCCCCGAAGGAGACCTCCGCCACAGTCCCCTGAGCTGCCGGGAGACGGCACTGGCTGCCTGGATGCTGACCCCAGCGCAGCAGGGCGGGCGGGGACCCTTCCACCTCGCAGAGCGGGGCCCACTCTTAGCTTTTCTACTCACTGTTAGAGAAGGACCTGGCTGAGCGGCTGGCGGGAAGCGGGGACAGGGCTGTGAGTCACTCGGAGGGAACCGGCCCGTGTCATTGTGCCGTCCAGCATGCGGGTCTACACCTCACCATCTAGAGTATCACGCACACGTGTCTACCATATACTCTACAGATATATTCTATATACAATATATAAATATAAATATATATATACACACACACACATATCTATCCTGTGTGTCTGAGGCCCAGGGCCCTCAGCCCCGCCTACCGATGTGTGAGGCCTGGGCGTCCTGGTCACGCTTCGGGCGGAGCGTTCTGGAGCAGAGAGTCGCAGCAGCACGTGGGATCAGGCCTGGATGTGCAGGGTTGGGGTGACCCAGCTGCCCGGCTCCACACATTCCTGCTTTCTACTTGCGGGAATGAAGGACTCAGCTCCCCCACCGCCCCCACACAAGATTTGACTCACTGACTTGTCCTAGAATTGGCAAGGCAAGGGCAGACCAAGGGGCCCAGAAGCTTCCCGTGGGGTGACCACTGGAGCAGGGACCCCAGTAAAGAAACCTGTACTGCCAGCCCACCTCTGGCCCCAGGGACAGCCCCAGGGGTACAGGCTGCAAGGTGGAGAGCCACGGCCTTCCCGGCTCTCCCTGCCCTCCCCCTGGTTGCCCGTGGGTCCTGTCCCCCCATCTGCCTCGCCGGGCACCCCTTTGTGTGCCCCTTGGTCACATGCATCATCCCAAAGGGTGTTCTGCTGCTGTGACTGCCGGGCCTGCGCCCCTCCTGTCCACCCTCACGCTGTCCTCCTGTAACTGCGCGTCCTCCTTTTGTAGTTTCTGATGTTTGTAACCAGACCCATCTGTGTCATTAAACAGACCCGTTCTTCCTGTATCCGGGGGCTCGCTCTTCCGTCTGTCCCCGCCACCTGCCTTCGCTTCTGTCCCATCCTTAGTCCTGGGGCCCAGCCTTTTCCTGCAAAGGCCCGGAAGGCCCCCTTGCCCATGTCTCAGCCTCTGCTGTTCATGAGCCCCTCTCTAAAGAGGCCCAAGGCTGCTGTGGGGCCCTCACTGTTTAATCTGGAGCACAGAGCTGAAAAGCTAGAAGCTGGGTTTTATGGGCACCAAGAGAGAGAACCCAGAGTTGGGAGACAGGCTTGTGATGAACGCTGGTCATTTCGGCACTTTTGGAGGCTGAGGCAGGCTGACCTTGTCTCAAAATACAAAAATAACAAAAGGGTGGGGATATAGTTTAATGCAAAGGCCCTGAGTTTAATCACCAGAACCTCAAAAAGGAAGGGGGTCAAGATTTTGTTCTAGAAAGCTCCTCTTCTCGAGGTTGGGATAAACGAGGGGGGGTGCGGGAGCAGTGTCCAGGCCTCAAACCCTGCTGTAACCATGGAACCTTGACCTAGACCTCGGTGTGGCCCCATGCAGGAGGGCTGATCCTCGGTGAAGGTGAGCAGGGGAGGCTCTGAGAAAGGGAGGAAGCCTGTGGGACTCGCCTTAAAGCCCAGCGGTCCCAGCAGAGCAGCGCTCAGGGCAGGCCAGGTCAGCCCCACCCTGTTCGGGGTCACAGTGAGGGGCCCTGCAGGAGGAGCAGGAAGCAGCCTCTGCCCCCAGGGAGGGCTTCGGGCTGCCTGGGAAGACTCAGCTGACACACAGGAAAGCCGTCTCCCAGGCTGTGAACTCGAAGGCCGGCCGCGCCTTCCTCTCCTCGGCCGGCCTGGCACGGTGAATACTGGACGGAAATCCAAAGAATAAATAAATACCGCTCTTAGAAAGCAAGACAAGTACGCGGGCCAAGAGGGAGCTGTGAGCTGAAAGGTGGCGGGCACAGGGTGCGAGAGGGCAGGAGGGTCGGGCCTTCCCAGGAGGCAGCATGGAGACGGCCAGGCTCCAGCCTTGGATAGCCGCTTACTTCTGCGTGCCCTTGGGCAAGTCACTCAGCCTCTCTGGGGCTCCATTGCCTCTAACCTAAAATAGTAGTGACCCGCAGTAGTGGTTGGCAGGCACAACCAGAGCGAGGGTGGGTTGGTGAGGTCCGGGGTGGGGGATGGGGCACAGTCCCTAGAGACGGAGACCCCCTCCCCACTTCAGTTCCCCCCGGAACGGGGAAGGGGCTTCTGAACCGGTGGAAACAGATCATGCCTGCAATTTCAGCCGTCCACAAGCCTGAAGCAGGAAGATCTCATGTTCGAAGATCTCAGCCCAGGCAATTTAGCAAGGCCCTGTCTCAAAAAAAAAATTTTTTTTTTTGGTTTTTCTCCAGTACCGGGAACTGGACTCACGACCTTGCGCTTGCCAGGCAGGCACTTTTGCTGCTGAGCTAAATCCCCAGCTCCCGCTGTCTCAAAATTTTTAAAAAGATTTTATTTAAGGGGTGAGGCCATAGCTCAGAGCAAAGGCCCTGGGTTCAGTCCCCAGTACTGAAAAAGAAGTGAAAAAACACTTGAGATCATCCTGGATCTGACTGTGAGAAGTCTCCCGCCTCTCGGCTGCTGGGAAGCGGACACTGGCCGCCCCCTTGCCGGAGCTGGGGCAGGGCAAGGGCAGCCGTGGGCTACAGGCTCTGTGCAGCAGGGGCAGCGTGTGGGATTCTGTCCCGTGCCCCACATTCGGGGCTGAGCTTAGCCCAGCAACTGAGTCGGATGCCCCTGGCCAGCTCTGGCTGTAAGCGACTGGGTGTCTGGAACTGGGCTCCTGGGGTTACACAGCGGCCAGGCGGCGCGGCCCCGCTGCGACCCCTGCTGGTCGCAGAGGGAACAGCGTTGAGGAAGCGGCGTGCGCGGACTTCTTCCGGGCTGTGCGACAGCCATGCAGGGTCGCTAAAACAGCAAGTACGGTAGGTACTACGGTAGCTTGGCAGCACATGTACTAAGAAGCTGGAATGATACAGAAGTCTGTACGGGCTCTGTGTAGTAATGTCGCACAAACTGGCGAAGGGTTCGAAACATTTTCCTGGACCACTTAGAAGACCCTATGTCAAAATTTTAGTTAGATGCTTGTAAGCCCAGCACTCGGGAGGCTGAGGCAGGAGGATCGTTGTGAGTTCCAGGCAAGTCTGGGCTACAAACTGAGCTCAAGACCAGCCTGAACTGAGACCCTGTCTCAAAAAGACAAAAAAAAAATTTTAGTTAAATTTTAAAAAGCCTCGGGGGTGTAGCTCCCTGGTGTAGAGGGCGCTTAGTTTGCTCAAGACCTTGAGTTCCATCCCCAGCACTGCAAAAACAAACCACAAACACCAACAACCACAAGCAAACGGCTGAATGTGCTGCTGTGTACCTTAGTCCCAGCATCAGGAGACCAATGAGGGAGCTTTGAGGACAGGAGCTCAAGGCCAACCTGGACTACCTAACAAGAGCCTGTCTCAAAAACACAAAATAAAAGAAGCCTGTCTCTGTCTAAAATTTTAAAATTTTTTGGTCATAGTTTGTTTCTTCTTTTTGATACTGTGTATTGAACCTAGGACCCTCACACTGAGATACATCCCATCCCTTTTTAAAATTTTATATTTTGAGATAACATCTCTCTAAATCACTAGGTTGCACAGCTGAACTGGAACTTGTGAGCTTCCTGCCTCAGCCTCCCAGAGTGCTAGGATCACAGGTAGGTACCACCACGCCCAGCCTAAGATTGAATTTTGAAGTTGGTCCAACATGATTCACTGAAGGGTGATTCAATAATGGTGTCACCACTTCCCATGGGGGAAATGCCCAGCAAGAACAGGTCCAAACAGGAGTTCTGCTCTGGGCAAAGGACATGGGAGCTGTCCAGTGGGACTTGGACACTCCAGCCGGAAGCGAGACAGAGGTCAGGGTTGGGATTAAATCTGGGATCGGATGAGATCACCGAGGCACGAGTGTGGGAAGGAAGAGGCCCTGAGCCCGAGGTTGAGGGGAGCGCAGGCGCAGGGGGAGGAGGATCAGGGCAGGGAGGGAGCCAGCCTGCGCTGCTGGGGAGAAGCTTCCGCCAGCCCCGGCCAGCTGTGTCTGCGCTGCTTCTGGCAGAGGACAGATGGCAAGGCAGTGCCTGGGGACCGGAGGATTCAGGACTGCCTGGGAGGGCGGGCGGAGGGCAGAGATGAGGCAGAGACAGGAAGGAGCTCAGGACATGTGGGGTCAGGAGAGAGACGCCAGCCAGGCCAGGCCCTGTCCTTGCCATAGAGACAGAGAGACGGCAGCACAGGAGCTGGGGTGACCACAGCTTGGGAAATCCCCAAGGAAGAGAAAGGTGTCCTCATCTGTCTGGACAGCTGTAACAGTTTACTAAATACAAGTGGCCTACAACAATAGATTTTCTTATTTGGTCATAGTACTGAGGATTGAACCCAGGCCATTGTACTGAGTGAGCTACGCACCCCCAACCCCCCTGTACATATTTATTTTGTTGAAACTGGGTCTCAATAAGTTGCTAAGTTGCCCTGGCTGGGCTCAAACTTGCAATCCTTCTGCCTCAGCCTCCCAGAATGCTGGAATTTACAAGCATGTGCCTCCACGACTGGCTTGCATAATGGAAATTTATTTCTCACTGTGTGGGAGACTGGAAGTCCAAGAACAAGGCACCAGCACATTCAGTGTTGGTGAGAGTCCACTTTCTGTTTCCTAGATGGCAGCTTCTCGCAGAGCCCTCACATGGTAGAGAGGTAGATTCTGTGTTGTTGCTGCTGTTGTATTGGAGACTGAGTGGAGGAGGAGGACTCTCACCAGCTACACCCTGAGTACTTTTTCTTGTGACACAGGATCTAGCTAAATTGCCCAGGCTGGGGCTGGGATATAGCTCAGTGGCACAGCGCTTGTCTGGCAAGTGTGACATCCGGGATTTGATTCCTGGTTACCCATGAAAAAAATAAAATTAAAATAAATTGCCTAGGCTGGGCTCAAACTTGAGATCCTCCAGCCTCAGCCTCCCTGAGTGCTGGGATTATAGGGGTATACCATCAGACCAGCCCTCTGGAGTCTCTTACAAAGATACTAATTCCATTCACCCTGTGACCTAATCACCTCTGAAGGGCCCCGCCGCCGCCTAACACCTTGGAGATTAACTAACAACGTATGAATGGGGGGAGGGGATACAGACATTCAGCCATGGCAGAGCGGAGCGTGGAGGACAGTCCTGGGGAGGAGGAGGCGCTCCGGAGGCCCCAAGTGTGTGGCTCCAAGTGTGGTGGACCACAGTGTGTGGCACGTTCATTTCCAGGGCTGCCTGGGGGCTTGCACAGAGAGCACGGAGGCCCAGGAAGGCCCTGAGCAGGAAGGCGGCCCGCATCCCTGGCTTTGCATCAACTTGAACGAGAGCAGCCGGTGCCTGGGGACTTTCTCCCTGGCCAGCAGTGAGTTTCAGAGGGCAGGGTCATCCTAAAAATGGGTCAGGAGGATGGGACAGCAGGCTCACCGCCCAGAGCTCTGATCCACCACTCAGCCCACCTCAGCAACCTGTCTCTGTGTGCGCCCGAAACACAGCACCTGAGTGTTTTGTGGGGAGGCAGACCTGAGCCCAGCCAGGGACCTGAGGAGCCCAGCCCTCACCCTGCCTCCCCTTTGCTGTCCAGAGGTGGAGATGGGTATGGGGGAGGGGTGCAGAGCATGAGGAGGGCTCTCGTACGTCAGGGGGAAGTGAGTCCTTCGTCTTGTTTATATCCAAACATAGAATCTCCAATACTGCTGTAATCCCAGAACTCTGAAGGCTAAAGCAAGATGACTCTTGAGTTTGAGGCCAGCCTGGGCCACATAGCCAGACCCTGTCTTACAAAAGAGAGTGGGGAGGGGGGGGAGAGAGAGAGAGAGAGAGAGAGAGAGAGAGAGAGAGAGAGAGAGAGAGAGAGA